CAATTTCTCCATCACCAGACGCAGCTTCTCTAGTGATTTTTTAAAAAATATTTTCAGTCTACGTATTCATAAATTTGAATGTCCATCCTTTAAATATAGTAAATGGCTTCGTGGCACTAGCATTCCTTGCTAAACTCTTCGTATACGTTCAATGCTTTCTGATTGGAACACATTTGTTCATCTCTTCCACGCACAAACTTAATTCTTTTTTCCATTTTATACTTTTCACACATCATGATCGTAACTTTCGCTATTTGAGAGGAAACAGCAACGCGGTTTTCTTTTTTAAATAATTTCATGATGCAAAGATTTGTTTATACAATAAATATTTGTAACTTCTGCATACAACATGTTTTTATCCTTATTAAGTCAATTTTTTTTTACATTTTTTGCATAATTTCCGTAAAAATTAAATTAATTTAACAAAAAATTTACTTTCCATAAAAACAAAATTAATTAAACAAAAAATTCATATCATGAGTGAATGAATCTTTTAATTATTAATTTAAGTTCTTCCCAACAAGATCTTTGAAGTTATTTAAATTATTTTTATGTTTGCATTGATGATGCTGATGATGCTGATGATGCTGATGATGATGATGATGATGATGGATTATTTGAAGCTGTTTGCAAAATCAGAGAGCCAGATCCCTTCGCTATTGAAGACAGTGTAAGAATATAGTAATGATGTAGAAAAACGATGTGTAATTTCCAAGAGTTATTGTATTAACTATGAAGAGGGGAAATAAGGCCAATTGTTGTGATATTGAACTACTACACGAGGAAGTTATAATGGAGCCAAATGAAAGCCGATACAAATACCGTAGAATTCTCGAACTTGATGACGTACTACATACAGATATGAAGGGCAGAGTTCGAGATACATATCGGAAGAGGCTCAAACTCGTACTCAAATATAAACTCCACTAGACTGCAAAAGTCAGCCCATGGGCAGTGGCTGTAGTTAGATACAGTTCAGCAATTTTAAACTGGACCTAACTAGAAATTGCCCAACTTGATAGGAAGGCCCGGAAGTTGCTTACAATGCATGGTGCACTTCACCCAAAGTCTAACACCAACAGACTTGACATGAAGAGATCTGATGAAGATCGAGGGCCGATAAGTTTGTCCCACAGTGTCGAAAATGAACGATGATCTCTGGCACTGTATTTGGTTAACAGTGAAGAAGAAATGCAGCGATATGCATCATCACAAATGGGTATTGATGGAGTGGTGATGTAGAAGAAAAAGAAGAATGTTGACTGATAAAAACACGGGATAAACGTGACCATTGGGTAAATAGTTGCATGGACAATTTGAAAGAGCAACAAAAGGATTGAAGCACCATGAAACTTCACGGGAATTATTGAAGCACGGTGACTTGAAAAGAGGGTCTGGAAGTGTAAATCATAGCTGTACAGAAACAAGCTTTATATACGAAAGCCATAGCTAGCAACGTGTACTACACCACAGATGACCCAATGTGTAGGCTCTTTGGAAAGAAACAAGATAATGTCACATATGTAAAAAGTGGCTGTAAAATGCTGACACGGAGAAAGTCAAAAAACGACATAACCGAGTTTGCCTTAACATTGGCTTCTTATGCAACAAATATGCTTAAAACGTATCCGAGAAATGGTACGATGGCATACCGTTGGGAGTAATGGAAGTCTAGGGCAATCCAAAGATAGTCTGGGACTGGGACTTTCAAAGAGATCGTATTTTTGAACATTGAAGGCCACATGTAGTCAGCCTCAACACAACTGAAAAAGAATGCGAAATAATTGCTGTGGTCACACCTGCTGACTGCAAGATAACAGCAAAACACATAGAAAAGATAAGCAACTACTCTGTACTAAAGGTTGAGATTGCTGGATTCTGGTAAATATCGGAGAAAAATGTTAAAGTCATACCGGTAGTGACTGGAGTATTTGGCTCCATCCCAGTGAAACCTAAATATGTCGACTAACTCGGTTTAAAATACAATTTGCGAACGTTTCACACTTTTGGTACAGCAAGCCTACTTCGAAAAGTAGTATAAGGTTCTTGTTGTGACTTCATTGTTACTCAAGGAATCTACACAACAACAGTAACCTGATACATTCAAAATAAATGAGTAGCAACAATAATAATAATAATATCCAGAAACAACTGACCACCTTTTATCAGGTTACACAGTGTTAGCACCCACTGAATATAAAACTCGGCATGATAGAGTAAGCCAGTATCTGCACTGAAAAATATGCAACTCTTAGGGGAAGGAAACTGCAAGAAAATTGGTATGAACTTCACCCAGATCCGGTTACAGAGATAGGAATTGTTTGTTTGTTTGTTTGTTTTTGTTTTTGTTTTTTGGGGGTTTTTTTAACGAAAATGGTCATTTCTGACCTTAGGTCTCTGGTTGGGACCTGAAATAAAATGTGTATTCAACAGAAATCAAAGGAAATAATAATAATAATAATAATAATAATAATAATAATAATAATAATAATAATGTTACAGAGATAGGTCCTGTAACAATTTTATGGGACTTTACACTACACACAAACAGAACAATCAAAGCTAATCAACCTGACATCGTGATTAAAGACCGCAAAGACAATATGTGTACCTCCTTATTGATATGGCAATCCCGGCAGACTGTAATGTATCTTTGAAGATCTTCAAAATACTATCAAAATACAATGACCTTGAAATCGAAACCTCAAAAATATGGCGCATGGGGACATTAACAATTATAGTTGGAGCCCTCGAATTGATTGGAAAAGATTCTAATAGACTCGTTGAAGGGATCCCTGGTAGCCTTAAAGAAATGCAAAAAATTATACTCACAAGTACAGCCCACACCATAGAAAGGGCTTTATCTATGTAAAATATGTATCATTTTTTAAATTGTTTTTCAAAACTGCTCAATGGAAAATGTCATGATGCCATTTCTGACCTTAGGTCTCTGGTCGAAAAAAATGAGTATACACCAGAGACCAAAAGAAGTAAAAAAAAAATTTATAATAATAAAACTCTAACAAAATCTCAAAAATGGAAATCACCAGGAAATGACAAGGTGCCCAATTTTTAGCTCTGTCATCTCGAAAATTTTATCAATGTTAATGAATAATCCCAATGGAATTCCAGAATGAATCACTGAAGATATTACTTATCTCATACCAAAAAAAAAAAAAAAAAAATGGTGAAAGTGATGATCCGAAAAATTATAGACCAATAATATATCTGCCCACCACGTATAAATTAATCACCTGTGTAATGACTAATTGCACTTACTCTTTACTCGATGAAAACGACATTCTTCTTCTGGAAGAGAAAGGATTCTGAAAAGTTTTATATGGCTACAATGATCAACTACTGATAAATAAAATGACCCCGAAAAATTGCAGGAAAAAAAGGTAGAAATCTTAGCACAGCTTGGATAGATTATTATAAAGCTTTTGATAGTGTGCCACACTCTTGGATCCTTAAGAAGGCTTTGGGAATGTACAAAGACCCCTCGCTGATAGTAAATTTCCTTCCTATGGGACTGTGGAAAACTACATTATACCTTAATTACACTAAAGTCACTGCCAGTTCCAATCGAGTGAATATCCGACGAGCAATCATTCAAGGTGACTCCTTCTGTTAAGTCTGTCCTTAATTGCCTTTTCGCATGAACCAAAAAGTAATAACTATGAATACAAAATGAACAAGAAAGTATTTACTTTCACTTATTTTACATGGATGGTCTCAAACCTTTCACCAAAAAATAAAATAAGTTAAAAGGTCTTCTCTATACAGTAAAATGCTTCAATGACGATATCGGTATGGATTTTGGATTCGATAAATGTGCAAAAGTAACATTCAAGAAAGGGAGAAATATAGAAACACACTCAATAGATCTTGATTTTGTTACAAAGATTAGGGAACTGAAAAAAGTAGCTTATAAATATCTAGGAGTCAGAGATGGAGACTGAATACAACATACTCAAATAAAGGAGAAAGTAAGAAAAGAATACTACAGGTGGAGGTGCGTCTGGTGTTAAATACCAAGTTGATATCAGCCATACTTCATCTGTCCCTGTGGTGCAATAATTCTTAAGTGGACCATAGATGACATTAAACGAATGGATGTCAAAATGAGAAGATTTCTCACTTGTCATCCTAAGGCTGGTGTTGATCGTCTATATGTGTCCATATCCAAAGGAGGCAGTGGATTAGGTAAAATAGAATTGTCTTTTTGTTTTATTTTTTTTTTGGTGGGGGGGTACAAAAAATGATCAGTGAAAAATGTCATGAAGACATTTCTAACCATAGATCACTAGTTGGGACCCGGAAGGAAACATGTATACAACAGAAACCCAAGGAAAAAAAAAAATAATAATAATAATAATAATGACTTGTTGATTTTTTTTCAAAGTAGTTTCAATGTAATAAAAGTTTTGAACACGAAAATATTGCTGATTGAGTCAAGTGAGTATAAATGAAACCGAGGTTGTTATTCTGTTGATGGTGAGATCCTTTTATACTGATTAATCCAAATATGAAGTTAAATTTTCTTTTCAAGGGACGTAACTGTCACATTTAGGTACTTTACGAATGTTTTAATGGGCGACAACTCATACATTATTTACTAGCAGTTATTTCCCGTTAATACATTTTTTTGGTAGATATAGTTCAATTTATTTATTTTATTTTAAATAAGGTTATATTTGGGTTTTTATTTATTTGCATCTCTTTTCTTTTAATAAATATTCCAACTTCTCAAACAGTATTTCTTCTTTTAATTTGACATTTCCAATTCAAGCATTTTTTTATTTTTAAAGTGTTTCTTATTTTCTCACATTCTGAACATATTTTTAAAAATTATGGTTAGATACTAGAAATTAGAAGTACTAAACAGTATTTATTACCTTCCTAGCCTCTCTCTCTCTCTCTCTCTCTCTCTCTCTCTCTCTCTCTCTCTCTCTCTCTCTCTCTCACTCAATCTCACTCACTCTCTGTGGGGCTTTACAGCCACATCACATTGAAACACCTGTTCCTACAATCACCAAAGTTAAGCAACATTGAACCTGATCAGTACCTAGATGGGTGACTGCTTGAGAATACCAGGTGCTGTAAGCTTGGATGTGCAGGTGGTGTAATGAATAATGGCTTGGAATTGTTAGGTTCATTATATTCACTTACACAGAAATACCCTTGGGAAAAGTATGAATCCACATATTAACCACCCCCCCCCACACACACACACACACTTATGGGTTAATTAGTAAGACTTATATTACTCAATCATTGTTACTCAAAAAAAAATTCTTACAATTTCAAAATATTTCCTGGCTTTAAATAACCTGCAAAGTATTGATAAGCTGTAGAAAACAAATCAATCTATCTCTCTCTCCCTCTATTCTTGTGTGTGTGTGTGTGGATATTTTTCTTTGACAATCCTATAATGTTGCAACTGATTATTATAAAATACCTGAAACTGAAATTAATCACATCAATCAGTAATCTTTTCCAGTGTTTTAAAAAATAACCTATGAAACCCAAGTAATTTTTTTCTTCATTTTCCTGTTTTCCAAAAGCAAATATGACTTCATTCTTCCTATAATCAAAAATAATTATCTATTGGTTTAATAGATAATTTTAAGCATTCTCAAAATAATTTCAAAAGAATTTTTCAATTAATTTTAATATATTGCACATTATTAAATACATTGCATTTTGTGTAAAATTTGCATCTTATCAGTTCGATTATATTAATTTCTTCTGGCAATTTTCTAATAATTTCTCTATTCTTTTCTTCATTATCTGCATGTATTACTCAATTTATATTGATAATGACATTATATAAGGAATCATAAAAGACTATCTCTCACCTACATTTTATAGGTTACTCTGGAATCATCTTGAATTATCTTGTTCTTTTGACGAATTTTATAAAATGTCCATATTTACATATAAAATAATAAAAAGATACTTTATTCAGGTATTCATTATATTAAAATGTTTCTATAATCTATATTTTTGTATTTATTTACAAATAAAAATCAATAGATATTTAGGATAGATATGATGTACTAAAACTCACATGGTATATTGCATGGATAGGTAAAGTATATCCATAAATTTGATTGATATTGTTTGGTTAATAACAATTTTATTCTGAAAACATTGACAAAAGAACTGATAAAAATTGTTATATACATTCTAAAATTGCAATACTCCAATTAACATAGAAATTGGTTCTCTTTTCATCCTTGATGTATTAAAACATAATTTCTCCTAAATAGAATATCAATATGAGGGATATTAGCTTTAAATGTTTTGATCTTTCAACATTTAAGATCTTTACTTTTGTCATAAATGTGTAAGCAAAACAATAAATCAATTAAGAGAAAATACATTTTTAGCATTTCCTCCCTGAAATTTGAAAGAAATTTCAACAGTTAAAAAAGAAAAAACATTTTACTCGGTTGTAAATTACTTTAAGAAATGAATATGTTAGCATTACTCAGACTTACACATATGCACATGCACACATACATGTGAACACACACATACTGTTGAAATATTTAGATATTAACTATAAGTTCTATACTAACGCTTTCTTCTATTGCACTTCTTGCTTATGGAACTCTCTTTCAGCTTCTTACTTTCCAGTTAACATTGATCTTCAAAAATTTAAATGCAATGTCAATTGTTATCTTCTATTTTCTTAATTCTTGTTTTTTTGCAATTATCCCTCATTACTAGTGTGTTTTTTCTCATATTCTCTAAATCACAGTAACTCCTTACGTTTTAGTAGCTTTATTGCCTTGCTTGGGATGAAATAATTAAAAAAACTATAAACATTAAATTTTGGCCTCATGATATATGGATTTTCATTCATATTACTTTTTTAAAATCATTATTGCTTTTTCTATTTCATTGTCTTCAATTGTTTTCCCTCAGTAAAAGTAATACTAAGGTACACTTTAATTTATTGAATATGACAAATTTTTCAATTAATATAAAGAATTTTGACTCAGAGTGAAAGAAGCAACTATTTAAAATTCTTAAAATATTTCTCTATTCTTCTAAAGTGAGGAGAGAAAATAAATTGACATTTTTCACTGGTATTCTGCATGGTTTTTCGATTAAGCGTGAAAAAAAAAACATGCTGCTTATTTTTTATTGACTCTATTCTTTCTTTTTTTTAATTAACTCGTGAAAAAGAATTAATGGTGCAAAGGATTTTACAAGGGAGGTAAAACATTTAATGGAACTTTGAAGTTGCTTCCCTTTGATAAAAATGTAAAACGTGTTACTTGAAAAAATAATTGGTACGAAATTACAACACAACAAAATAATATTTCAAATATAAAATATTTTTATTTTCGATTACTACTACTGAAATCATAATTCTATAGATTATTAAAATAGCTTCCAATATAACTGACTTTCATCGAAACTTATTTGAAATATTTCTTTAATTGCATTTATCACATTCATTTTAAATTGTATTAAAAAATTTAAACGTAAGAGATCATTTTGACACTGTATTGATGTTTATAAACAGGATACCCCTTTTAAATCGATAAAAAATCAATATTTTTTATTCTGAGAAGTGTCACGGCCTAAGTAAGGTCTAAGGAATGTTAATCTGAAAAAATTATTTCCCCAAACATTTTTCTATATTTTTTATGATTGGACCACTAAATTTAAGTAATTCCCACTAGGGATTTATGGTCATCAAACTGTGATGAAGTGTTTGCATTGAAATGTAAAAGATGAGATTCAGGTTTTATGATTTCTATAATAATAAAAGGATTATAATAGCATAAAAAATAAACAAGATTGTATTAACATTAAAAAAGTAATAACTTCCAAAAAAAAAAAAAAAATATAAAGAATTATAGCAGCTTTAATGATCATTATTATAATCATACTAACCTTATAAAAAGAACATATCACCTTCAGAAAAGAGTATACCACCTTCAAAAATGGATTATATCAGCTTTAAATAAAGTATCATACCAGCTTCTCCCTCAAAAAGATCATACAAAGTTTTTAAAAAAGGATCATACCAATTTAAAAAAAGGATCATACCAATTTTAAAAAAAGGATCATTGATATTTACCATAAAAAAGGATCATACATGTCCTTCCTACTTCTTTTTGTTTTCTGGTTTGTTTTGTTTTTTTACAGAGTTTACAGTTATATTAATTCATTAAATACATTTTTAAATTAAATTATGAGAATCTTAAATTTGCTTCTGCTCAAAATATCTTTTAAATTTGATCACTTGTACTTTCTTTTTATAGATCTTGTAGAATTTTTGTATATATATATATGAGTACAGACAGAATATTTTCTCATTCATTTCCTCTTAATTAACAGATTTCCAAAAATGTTAATCAGTCTCATAAAACTGATTCATGACAGTGTGACCTCTTGAAATTCATGATAATTAAACAGTAAATGTGCCAAAATTTATCATTGATAGTCAAAGCAAACAAAATAACATACAAAACCATGTTACAACTGTCTGGATGAATGAGAATTTCTGTTGTCTTAAAAATGTTCCTTAAACCCAACATTTACAACTTTTCTTTCCATTTTGTTGTTTAATGCTAGAACACAATGTTTAATAATTGGAAACTTGTCTTTTTGTACAACAATTTGATAATATGATGAGTTTAATCTTCCATTGGTATTCTATTATATTCTCTTTGCATATTTTTTACTAAATTATTTGATATGACATTACTGAAGTTGTAAGGAAAGTGCCAGAAGGTTCGTAGGAATATTTATCGGAAACTTCAAAAAGAAACAATCAGTATCAAAGGTATAAACAAATAGTATATATTTATTTATTTGACTTCTATTTGAGTGAGTTCTTTGTAATTCGGGCTAGTGAAAGTTCATTTAGCTGGGTATTTGATAGTTAATAGTCAGATTTTGGTAGTAGTCACCATCTTTTTTTAGCTGCTGTTGAGAGTGTGATTACTTTGGAAATAGATGTGGCATCAATCTGCGTGTATTCTCATCCCTCGGAAGGGAAGGAAAAATGTCTTAAGCAGATGACCGCTTAATTTCTTCATGTGACATGCTCAGCTGGTCTCTCTGGTGATCCCTTCTCTCCCTCTCTCTGCCTGTTGGCTGTTGTCTTGTTTATATTACCTTAAAGGCTGTAGACTATTGGTGCAAAACTTGGTTTCACTTGACATCAAAAGTTACCTTGTTTTTTGGGGGTTTTTGTGGAGCTTCTCTTATATTGGTAGATTTCTAGTCATGATAACTAGACCTATAGGCCAGAAAAATTCTGCTGTTTTGTAGCCATATTCAGTTTTTCTTCTTCCTCTTTTGTATTTAAGGGCTGCTTTCTCATTAGTTGAGAGAGAATTATAGAAAGAGAAGCACAGAGAATGAGAAAGAGATACGGGTTTTGAAGGAAAACAAATGCCTTATTTTAATCTGAATTCTTTTTTGTGTTTATATATTTTATTTTCAAATTTATATTTTTTTTTTACCTGGGCTCACCACAAAGTCAATGATACAAAGTATCTTTTCTTAAAAATGTATAAAGCATCAGAAATATTGATAAAACAGAGAAAAACTGATTGTAATACAATGAAACTGCAAGTAAACAAATGCAGTCATGTAATAGACCTAATTATCAAATAAACTTATTTGGTTTATTTTTGTTTTAAAAAACATACAAATAGTCATTGAAGCTATTATCTTTCACACATAGTATGATTTGATTCGTTTATGGCATATCAACTCATTATGAGTCATTTAATACCAAAGTTTAATTTTTGGAAGAGCTTTGAAATAATAAAATGTTATTCTGCTTTCACAATTGAATACATGGCAGATGATACTCATCTTTTTTGCATATACATATTTTTGGGGACATGATTACTAGAGGGGGTGATAGCTGTGTTTCATGTTGCAGTTTTGTTGAAATTATATTTTGGAATACAGTTTGATTCCTTATGAATTAATGTCATGAAACATTTCTTTAATATTGGTTGTTTAGTTGATTGGTTGGTTGATTTTGTTTTTGTATACCAACCTCTAAATATTTTGAACATAATAATTTTCAACTAAATATATTTTAAACATAATGTTTTCAAC